TTATTATTCACCAATGATTACAATAAAAAAGAGTCTTTATCGCCCCCCAAATACGTCCGGCAGGAAGTGGGGGTGGTGGGGGATTTGTGGGATTGGAAGTCCACACATCTTAAAGTTGCTGAGCTTGAGAAACACTGTGTTAGATTAAAATTCTGTCTTTCATTCAGGAGTTCAAGGTGATGTACATAGCATTCCTTTCTCCTATTTTGTCCCACAACAACCCTGGGAGGTAGGCAGGGCTGAACCTGCCCAAAGTCCCCCAAGGCACTTCCATGGCTGAAATCTCTTCATGCCTAATCTTGCATCTTCTTAACCGTTTCTCCAAATAGTACCTGTGGTGTGCTAGTTTTCTCATGTCCCTGAAAAACCACAACTTCCTTCTCTTCAGAGGCCAAACTAAAGTAAATCCTGCAACAGGTTTAACCCGGTTACTGGGGAAACCCATTTTTTCCCCCTTTGCATAATCCGCTAAGCCAAACGGGCCGCCTTCACCCTGGATGCTGACCTATAAAATGGAAAACGGAACCACAATGAACTCCAGGCACATGTTGGACAGGTTTTCTGCCCTAGGTCTCCAAAGCAAACCGAGATGACATCCCCAGAAAGCCCACAATTGGGGACTTTGGTTTGCTTTCTTCCCCGTGGGGTTGGGTGAGCGTGCAGCGTTCCCAGGGCACCCTGGATGCTGACCTATAAAATGGAAAACAGAACCACAATGAACTCCAGGCACATGTTGGACAGGTTTTCTGCCCTAGGTCTCCAAAGCAAACCGAGATGACATCCCCAGAAAGCCCACAATTGGGGACTTTGGTTTGCTTTCTTCCCCGTGGGGTTGGGTGAGCGTGCAGCGTTCCCAGGGCACCCTGGATGCTGACCTATAAAATGGAAAACAGAACCACAATGAACTCCAGGCACATGTTGGACAGGTTTTCTGCCCTAGGTCTCCAAAGCAAACCAAGATGACATCCCCAGAAAGTCCGCAATTGGGGACTTTGGTTTGCTTTCTTCCCCGTGGGGTTGGGTGAGCGTGCAGCGTTCCCAGGGCACCCATTCCAAGCAC